CGCCCGCCCTCTCCTGCCCCCGCCGACAGGCGCCGAGACGCACCGCAGGCTTATTCCAACCCCGGGCTCGGTTTTCGAAAGTTTACCAGACTTTTTATCAAAAACTTGATGTGAAAATGCAGCCCGCAGCCAGCCCCCCTCTTGTAGCCACGGACGGGTGGGTGCGGGAGCCTCCACATTCCCCCTCTTGCCCGGACTGTGTCCAGAACAACGCCCCCCCTCCCCCATTAGGGTCTGTGTCTGGGTATTGTGTCCACGTACTTCTCATGCACACGCGCACACACGCACGCACAAACACACTCTGCCCCGTGTTCACATCGATGCTTTTGCAACAAGCTTTCACGCTCGCAGGAGCGGAGGCAGGGCCGGGAGGCGGCGGTTTAGCCGCCCCCAAAGGGATGTGTTCCTCCCTCCCCGGCTCTAGATGTTAGGCACGCGATGCCTGTGGCACGGGCCGGATCCGAAGCGGACAAGCAGGCGCGGAGCTGCTCCGTGTGCCCCGTGGTTAGTCGCAGGGTGCGGGGGCAAAGGCAACCCGCAACGACTGCAGGCCGGGAGCAGGCGGTTCCCAAGGGGGAGGGCGCCGCTGGCCGAGTCCTGCCCCGCTCCCGACGCTTGTTTCTGGGGCTGGACCAGCTCATCCCCACGCAAGCAGGTGCGGGGCTGGGTGCTGGACGGCAGCCAGGGCAGTGGCTCCTCCGCGGGTCCCGGGAAGAGATCCGAGACAAAACGTGCCAGCTGTCCGCGCAAATCACCCCCGTGTTCCCGTCACCTCGCACCGCTTTCTTTCGCTTTACAGGCCATTTCAGGTCGAAAAGCCGCGTCTTTAAACAAAAAACCGCCTTGCGGCGCAGCCCGGCCAGGGCTTGCCCCGCGATACCGCCAGGCTCGAGCGCGCGGCGCCCTCTGCCGGCAGCACCGTTTCTCGGCCCAGTACCCACATGCGTCCCCACCGGGTGTAGATCAGAAGCAGAAAGGCCCGTTCACACGACGCATCTTAGTCCGGCACGTCTACAACCGGCACAAGGGCTGTGAGCAGGAAACAGGGGAGTTGCAGTAGAGCTATCTCCTTCAAGCTAAGTGTCCAACCCCCAACTCTCCCTATGGCTGAAGAAGGGTGTTTGTGCCCCCAAACTGGCAAAGAACAATTCCCCCAACTATTTAGTTGATCTAATTAAAGAGATCACATTTCCCAAAGAACCGTGTCTGCCAAACCCCCAGAGAGATCTGCTAGAGAGCATCACTATACCCGAGGAAGCTGATTTCAGCCTAAGTCATTTGATCAGAAGAGGAAGACCCCGCTTTCAGGGGCAGTGATTTGTCTCCTTTTTAAAGAAACAAACAAAACCCTATGCTTGAGCTGGGTGAGATGAGTCGGGTAGGCATCTCTGTCCCTTTGTTAATAACTAGAGTCATCTCGGAAACATGTTATATTACAAAAAATACAGGCCTCATAGGTGGAGTGCCCAGCCTGCTGTGACACATCAGTATAGAAGTCAGATGGTCTTAAATTGGTTTCATAATCTAAAAAAAAAAAAAAATCAAGACTTTTCAAGAAGCATCGTGTGCATTTCTGTGCAATTCTTTTGAAAAGCTTTAATGATACACAGCCATCAGTGATTTATAACTCTGGAACAGGGTATTCCATGAAGAAAAGACACGATGCCGTGCAAGGGGGGGAGGACAGGAATGGTATTTAGTTCTTTTGCAACAGGCATAAAAATTGTGGAAATGGAGGTTGAGAAGTGGGGAATAAGTTGAGAAATAGACAGCCATACATGTAGGTTGGGGTAAGAAATATGTAGGGAGATATGCATATATGGAATAAGCAGTAGCTATGTAGAGGGATACACCTCTTTGTAAAGTATATAAAGGAATACATCCTGCTTTACAACCTAAATGTGAAACAACGTTGTATGAGGATAAGGGAAGAGAAATATTTCATTATTAAATTAAATCAAATTCTGCATCAATTTTGCCATTACACTGAATCTATCAATCCAATGTAGGAGATCCCCACAGTCTGCGTCTGCTCTTACTGACGCATGCCTTGAAAACAGTAACTGTCCAGCTTGTGAGCTGCTAAGCAGCCAAGAAAATGACCACGCCTTGTCTCAGAGCATCAAGATATTATAGTGATAGAAACATTAACAGTGATGCTAAATTAAAGCAGATGTTTAAAAATAGGAAGGCTAGAGATAGGTTAGCTTTTGAGGAGTGCCTTTCCAGTGGATGAAGCAGTAGGACTTCTCACTTGACTTTCTCATCCAGAGGCAGGGCAATGGTTTGCTGATGGGCCTGAGCTGAAGTCACTATTTAAGCTGCCAGAATCAGATTTTGGTCTCTGAATTTTCCATGGCACTTGGACATAAAATATTACTTGTATTTTTCGGTCATGGCTGAAATAATTGCATATATGGCAACATAGATATCTCCTCCTTGCACTTTAGATTGCTATAACAATTTGGTGGTCAGATCAGAACTGAATCACTAATTGGGATTAGCCTCCCAAAGGAAAAAAAATAAGTGTTCAATCCATTGGACTCAAATGGGCTTCTGGATGGGATTTCTTTCCCTTATTACATGCATTTCAAGAGTCATTCTGTACGACTCCAAGCCTTCTTCTTCTGCTTGTGGAAAGTATATGGAACGAATGCACTGAAACATCCTTATCCAATAGAGAGCTGTCTAGCAACGTGAGTTTTTAACACCTTCCCCTTGAATCAAAAGTTTTAAGTCAGGGACTTCTTGAGGATTGGGGCTTATACATCTATGAATAGATGCACTTGTCAATGAATGTCATATATTCATTTGCAACAGATATACCCTTAAACATCCATTTTTCACTGTATATACCTTCTTCAGAACATGATCAACAATATAATGAATCAGAATAGAAACTGCTTATAAAGAGTGTTGCAATAAATATTGCTTAGGTATATTGTATTCCCAGGCTATATGATTGTAATAGTTATGATAAAGATATCAGAACTGAAAGCAAATCATATGCATCTATTTTAGAGTTTTGTACTGTGACCTACATCTCTCTGAAAATCTTCCACATTAATTAACAATGAAGACTCTAGTGGAAACATATATTATGTTTCCCAGTTACTTATGGACTAGATTTATAGCTGGGTGCCCAGTTATTATTTTCCCAATTTAGAAATTCCTTTGCAGAGCTCAAACCTGGTAAGCCTGGATAGAAGTAACCAGAGAAGTAGAAGGAGTATCAGCACTTAGGTCTTAGTAATTTATAAAATGTTTCCATTAGCAAGAGCATCTTTTTCACTTAAAGGCAACTGGAAGAGAAATAGGGGGAGAAGGAGAGAGAGAGAAAAACGTTGCTCCCATCACAACAGCTATAACCATTTCAGGGACTGGGGAGCTCATTTGGTACATGGTAGGCCCATATTCAAATCCCTGCTCTGTTGGAAGGCTCTTCACTGAAAGGCCCAAGTGTTGAGTCCTTCAAGAAGGTACCTCTTCAAAAAAGGCCATATTAAATGTATCTATCTCATCTTAGTCATGTTTACTCTATCATATCAGTTATTGCTTAACACTATTAGCTCTTCTATTTTCCATCGAGCCTTCTAGGGTAGAAGAGTGAGGAAAAAAAACCCGGTTGGTGCATTATGAAAACCTCCATTCTACAATGCTTTTTACTCTTACATAAGGAAAAGGGGGAAAAAAGACAATAATTTTCCTCTTTTCATGCTTCTGATATAACAAAGAACACACCATTATCATTTTTATCTCCTCCAGAGCGGTGTCTGAACTACGGGCCAGATTCTCAGCTGGTGTCAATTGGCATGGCTACATGCCCCATTTGATATGGCTGCAGATAGGCTGTGCCTCTTATTTTTAGGAAGTTTGTGCATCTAGAAGTGCACTGGTATCATTCTGGTTTAAACATATAATAATTATTTCATTAATGTTTCAGTTCAGAATTAATTGGCTAATTTACGCATGGATCAATTGTGTAAATGTGATGTTTGTGATAGGTACTTGATGTGATTTAAAGTAATTGTTTGTGTTTAGGGTTTGCCTTTCATTATATTGCAAAGTAATTTATCTGATGATTTATCCCGTCTGAATACATGCTTTCTTTTTCGCAATTTTTTTAAATAAAGAAGCACATTTCTGTCAAGCTGTGGAGTATGCTTGTACTATATGGTTCTAAGAGTAAATATTATATCGTCTTTGCTCCACGATACACCAGTATAAACAGTACTGCTTTTATATATTGGCAATGTGCAGTAAAGTGCTCCTTTTGTGTGGCAAAAAGTAACATGCTTGAGTTCGGAGGTGTTATTCTGTCCAGATCTCTGTATCCGTCTCATCACTGACCTATCTTAATTTTTACCTACATTAAGAGATGTGACAAACATGTCATGTGTATTTCATTCCCTCTCTCTCAAGATCTCCACAGGGAAGAAACCTTGTGTTCAGTGAAGTGCTGGGAGTATCTGCCTGATTAAAAAATATATATTTGCAGTCAACAGTAACTTCTAAATAGGGTGACCGTTCATCCTGGTTTGGCTGGGACACTCCAGGATCCCATCGCTCTGCTCCAGCCAGTTGGTCAAAAGTCCTGGGACAGAGTCTGGTGGGGAGGTGGAGCAGCACGGTTTGCCAGGCAGACAGCTTGGCAGCACTGCTGCTCCTGTGCGGGAACAAGGACATTTCACGTGCAGACAAGGTGGCGCCTGCTCCAGTCTACCCACCTGCAGCAATGATGCCTGCCTGGACAACCCCCTGGTGCATCCTGCTGCTCCACTTTCCTGCTGGACTCTGGCCTGGGGCTTTTGGCCAACTGGCTGGGACTGGGCTATGGTATCTAGGACTGTCCTGGACATACTGGGACGTATGGTCACCCTACTTATAAAGAACACAAATCTTCATTTTGGTAGCATTAAATGCATGCCCCACCCATTGCAAGCACAGTAGTACAAGAAGGGCAAATTCTGGCTAATGGATGAGGCAAATCCTTTATCTTATACAGAGCATCAGGGGATCATTACTATCCATGCAGAATAGAAAGGAGAAAACCTTTCAGGGTTTCAACCAAACGTAAGTTTCATGGTAATTCAAATTTACCTGCCTCAAAAAGGGGACGGACAGAATCATCTCTGCTGCCGTTAGAACCTGGGACTTTAATCTACCTATATGCCAAGCCTAAAGCTTATACACCAAGCCATCACCTCCAGACTAATGTATGGGTCCTGAGAAAGCATCTCAGCTTATGCCAGCATCAGCAGTGGTAAAAGATGGAAGAAACAGACTTCTGTGTTGCCACAGACAACTCATTTACTAAAACACACTAGCATATTGGGAGCTTTTTAGGGACTTCTCATTTAACCCTTTCCAGAGGGAGAGTGGTATCCAGGCATTTTACTTAACTGGAAAAATAATTGATATAATAGACGCTCAACAACCTGTGTAGTCAAGACCCTGACAAATGTACATTATCTGTATTCAGCCCAATGAGAACAGAATTGACCCAGTACCCAGTATATGTGCATGGAGATGCTAAATTATCTGCAGTTTTAAGAGTTCCTAAATAATCATTGATTTCAAAGTTGTTACGGTCCATTGAATCAAAAACCAGTTATTTAAAAAGACTCTCACATTAGATTTATATCACGCACCCTGGGAATTTCATAAAAACTGTAATGGATATCAGCTAAATGTGACACTTTCAGAAAAGATCCTGTGATAACACTTTTCCCCCCCTCAAAACTTTGGGATAAAAGGACCCTAAATATAGTAACCACAACTGCAAAAATTATTTATGACTCTGCAAAATAAAACAATTGTATTTGCATAGTAACTTCTATGCAGGGAAGTCATTGGGCTTTACAGACATAAGGCCTTTATCATGCTTAAGTCATAGTGCAGGGGAAAACAACAACTCAGGTGTGGGCCTGTAAAATCCCATTC